TTCGACCCTGGCCCTGGCAAGTACCAATGTGATTTTTGCGAGTCATATGGACTTTCTAAAAGTATTTAGACATCACTGATTAATGCATTCCCAAAGAGGGTTGATGTCAGGCAGGCGGCCAGTCGTAAAAAATAATTTGCCAAAACTATTCACAATATGTAAGGCAGACGCTGGCTAAAGCTAGGAAATTGCCAGGTAGTACTATATATAACAAAGATAATGCAAGAATAAGATAAAATCCTTATAAACTAAGTATACTTAAAAACAATCAAATACTGGTTATCTTTAAAATTCACTATGATTGAATATTCGTGATTTAGGATCTTAATTCAAAACGCTAAGTACAACATCTATTTCTACATAATATTTTTATATTAAATAATTGTCTTTATTATAAAACGCCATCCGGTTTCGTACCATACATCTAAGTCAAAACTTCAATCATTATTCATATAGGATTTTTTAAGTTATAAACTATCTGTAGTTTAAAAATAACACAAACACACCATTTAAATATACTCACATATGTTTCATACCATCAAATTATTAAAAACATGTCTTATTCATCAAAAATGAAATTAATTATATATTTAATATATTAATTGGCTGGTTTATAGAAATAATGATTAAATACAGACCCTACCGCAGGCAACAGCTTGTATTGAATAATAGAACATTTATTATCCTTAGCCAATCAATAGCAAGAAAGGCTTAGTGTTCATTACTTATTTTGTATAACAAAGGGATCCAAGAATAATTATAAGTCATTACGAGTCAAAGTTTCAGACACTGTTATTTATTTATCTTCAGTGGGAATAATTTGTAAGTGAACGTTCTCAATATTCGTTATTTATTAATTTTAATTTAGGGACAGAAGGATTTTCTTGATAAGTTATAAGAAATTTATCCGAACTGCAACCATTAAAGAAACAAATTTGTAGCATTTGTATAAGGATTTCATTAGCAGTAGTGGTATTTCCTCGATAAGTTAAAACAAATGTTTGCACTTTACTTAAGCCGTGTTGGAATTAATTTTAATTGAATCATTTATTTCGGCTCGTCTCCGGGCCGTTTTGATAATTTTATTCCGTTTACGAACATACTTGTGACAAAATTTCTTTTATAATTAACTTGTTTCTTTGACAGACATCTCAGGTCAAATATCCACTTGTTGTTCCTATGCTCTATCATCTTACAAACAAAATTGCGTTCGAAACGGTGAAGTAGTTTTTACGTTATTGCTCTGGAAACACGTATTATGTACTTTTAAAGTATTTAAAGGGTCCGCCTCTCGTTGCTGAGGGCGCGGGTTCAAACCTGGCAAGTACCAATGTGATTTTTCGGAGTCATATGTACTTTCTGAGATTATTTAGACACCACTGCCATACGGTGAAGGAAAACATCGTGAGGAAACCTGGACTTATAGTTTCACAATTATAAGTTTGAAATCACCAACCCGTCTTGAGCAAGCGTGGTGATAAATGCTCAAACCTTCTCCATGTGAGAAAGAGGCCTTTGCTCAGCAGTGGTCGCTGATAGGCTGATGACAAAGTACTCTTCATATTTTTAGAACTTGTAAATGACTTTATTTAGCTATCTCTCAAAGGCTCACTAGGTAGGACATTGCTTCATATATCATGTGATATATAGTTGTTAAAAGTCACTTTTATAGACTGAATTTTTATTTCAAAGTTTCCCCCTTCAATGCACTTATTAAAATAGTAATATTTTGAGGTCCCTTGCAATATATTTATATGGAACTCAACATTATTTGGGAGCAATCTTTTAATAAAATTTTTGATTGTTTTTTATAAGAAAATTCATTGTTAATTTAAAAAAAAATCCCTATACTTATCTTTATGTAGCTCGTAATACTTTATAATAGATTTCAATGTTTGTTTTAGAAGCAATAGCATAAATCACAATATACCGCGGGTAACTCCGAATTCTCATGTCGCCATTTGTATCCGGTAAATGCTATTGCAACAAAAGTTACGGTATCGCCTATAAAACTAAAGTAATAATAGACAATTTAGAATGTGATTTAGTCGTCCGCTGTAATATGTATATTAAATTTATTTATTACTTATTTTTGCCTGCGACTTCGTCCGTGTTCATTTCGGAATTATTAATATATAAAGCTAACCGAGTCAACTATATTATACCTACCTAGAGGCCCTAAATAACCAGGTATTGGAATTTATATACATATATATATTTTTCTATCGAATAGAATTAAATATCCTAAGTCCGTCTCCTGGTTCTAAGCTATCTCTCCACCAATTTCCAACCATATCCCTACAGCCTTTCTTGAGTTATAAATAGTGTAACTAATACCACTTTCTTTTATATGTAAAGATACTTGTTGTATAAATATTGTTATTCTATTCTGACACATAAGTTGAATAGTTGTTTCTCATCAAAGCGATGTCCGTGTTTATCACTGTTCTAAAGCTCAAAGACTTTGTAGTTCTCATGAGCTCTACTACAGTATTCTGCATACCGGCTTTATGTTAATCGTGAGAACAATATATAGTGTTTACAACAAGCGCTCAGTCTAGACCCCCTCGAGTAAGTCTCTAGAGATCGGGACAGTGCGACACACATAATAATCGTGTAAAGAAAATTTCTATCAACGTAGTCTTCTACGCAAAATATAAATATTTAAACGTGTAAATAATTCTCAAAGAAAAATTTTTTCTTTATTATTCGTCCATAGCTTAAATTGAATTCTTTATTGTAGTATAATTATCAATTATAATAATAGATTGATAAAATGTATACAAAAAAATATAAACAATTAATTCTTTCATATTTATTAATATTAACAACTATAATTCCTATTGAAATAAAATGTGTTTCATTTTTAAAATATTATAGTATCACAAATGATATTATTCTCATCACTAAATTCACAAAATAGTTTAATCAAACTCATCAATATTCATCGTATATTTGAGTAATTTAACTGTGCCTGAACACCGTCAATCAAGGTATGTAGTGGGCCGGTGTTCGTCAAAGCTATCACGTTCACGATAAGCTATGAAACTACTGTACAGGCTTTCTTGGAGTCTATCGTTACATTGAATTTTTCCTACTCAATATTTAGACGAGTTTTATTTCATCAGTAAATTTAAAAACATATTTTTCGTAGTTAAAATAACGGAGATTAAATATTAAACTAGAAAAGAATTCAAATATTCAATCATTAATAAACAGTTTTATTTTATTGCATATGCATATGTATTGTGTTTTTTCTTTCTATATCATATCTCATAAGTAATGCTTTGTGTAATTTATATTTATGTATCAATAAAATAGGTCACAATAATTCCACCCCACATACAATGAAACTGAATTTTGTTCGTATACATTCACAAAAACCATTTTTCATTGAAAGGTTTTAAATCATTTTGCCCGCTGAACATATTCCCACTTGATTCAATTTAGTGTTCATGCAAGTTTACACAAACGATTCCGCATATATTTATGAAAACTGTTTTATTTATGAATATTCGAAAACAGATATGCAAGTGAATTTTATACAAAGACCAGCATTATCATATTAACATATTTTGTTTTTCAATTAACCATGTGTTTGAAAACATGTAACTTATTCCCAATGTAAAACTTACTTTAAATTAAATATGTATATTGATTCTTAACTTTATTTCAAAGAGGTAGAGTAATTATAGCTATAACACAAACATAATGGGACTTGGAATAAGTTAGTGTCAAAGTTAAAAGCAACAAAACTACTTAATGACTGTAGTTTTCAGATCAAAACATTAGTTATACTGATAAAATCACTATTTGAACAGTAAATTTACTACTTCAGTGCACATCGAGTGAAACTGAAATGGTTGTTTATGACAGGCATTGATATAGTCCTCAACATAGACCTACGACAAAAAACGACAAAATAGTCTTAATATATTTGAAGAGCAATAATAAGTAAGGATTATATAAAAATAATAATTATTATTGACTATCAAAAACAGCAATTAAACTTTGAAAGTTTTACATGTAGAACATTTGTACTAATTACAAGTTACTTTGTTGTTACTTTGAAAAATATATATATTATGTTAAAAATATTATCTTATCCCAAGTTAAGATTTGACAGATGTATCAAAGATCAACGTTAAAATTTTGGGTCACAAATCAGAAAGTCTAAAGGTCATATCATTTTGAAGCGTAAATAGTTTAACGTTGATTTATAAATTGGGAAAAATTTCACTATGATAAGAAAACTGTCCAACTTTACCCAATTTTATGAAAATAAAACAAATTTAGAATAAGCAAGCAACATATAAGAAAATAAAGTAATAACATGAACATATATTACCAATTATTTTTTCATATATCTAAGGCTTCTAAACTTTTTTCTTATTTTTATAGTTACTTTGTACCCCCCGCAGTTTTGTTACTAATATTTTTCAAATTCGAGTTAGGGAGAACTTTATCTACGATTAACGAAAACAATTTCAGTGTTTCGACACGTGATTCTGATTATTTGAAACCTGTAGTTTTTCGTTAAATGTTTAAAATAAAGCAAAAACTCCTGATCAATCTAAAATATAATACTATATATACTAATAAATTGAAGGCATATAACTAGGTACAAAATTTATTGTAAACAAAAGCCAAATTATACAAGCAGATGTTTCAAAGGTTACACAATTTGTAAACACAACTAATGGAAGTAGTAAAATTTTAGCCACTCCTGGTTACTCGAGCAAAAATATTATTGACTAGCACAGATTCGAAGAAACTGAGATTAAGGTACTTTTACATATACTGGACAATGTTCTAAGAAAACTTTATATGTATAATTCAATTGAAACCGATAGATTAAGTATGCGTTATGTATCAAAAGATATGGAAGATTTTTTAAGTTTAGGATCGCATAAGTGGATATAACTCTTTACATTAGAGTAATTACTCATAGGAAGCGAACTTTATTTTTATTATATAATTTCCAACAAAATTACATTAACCTATCTTTGAAAATTCATTTCCTATATTGGCATCTTCGCTCTCTATATCGTCGGTGAAAACCTTCGACACGTCGACGTCGAACATGGGGAGCATTTTAAAATTTTAGAAAATAGTTTTGGTACTACGATCAAATCATGTTAGATAATTATTGCTTGTCTATTTAAGATCACTGAATGAACCACAACCGTGATGAGTTATGATTGACCACCATAGGAATATTGATAGAAAAATGTTTTGTATGAAAACCTAAAAATTATTTCCTTGTATATTTAAACAATATACTCGTAGAAATTCGAGATAAAAGAGCCTCTAACATAAAACCCAAAAACAAAATGATCAAACTAAAGAGTTTACTTATGTGAAATAAAATAAAAACAGTGTTTCTATCTTTCTATAAGTCTACATAATGAACATAATGGAATTACATACATTTCCAATATATAGAAACAAGCTTTACCTGAAAATGGCAAACATACCAACAACGTACATTCTTGCTTTTGCCTTACCTGATACGTGAAAATAACTCGCATTAGATCCAATAGCGATCCATAGTAAGTGCATGTAAAATGACACACTTGAAGTGTTATCAGGAATTTATCGTGGAGATTACAAAGGAACCTCTAAGGCTTAGCTTAAAACCGCTAAACAAATAGCAATGTAGTGAATCCGACTGTAATGAATTAACCATTTCTCAAACACTATGATAGTTATTTACGCTCTAATTCATAAGCTTTAGCGATAATATAAAAAAACATATAGGTATAAAAAAAAATACTATATAATTCTGATTGGAATATATTCATAAATATACAATATACAAAAAGTTTTCTTAGTGTTTTATTTTAAATAATTCGCTATCGACTTTTGTTTATACCACAACATAAAGACTTGAATTTCAGTACTGTATTTAACTAACACGTTCTATAACACCGAACTCAATGTCACAAACCTGAAGTGTAATTTTCGTATAAAATTATATAATTACAAATGAGAACCCTAATATTGTCTTCATAATATTAAATAGCAGCTTTGTATGGTTTTATAACAATGTTACTCTCGAAAACAATAGAAAAACAAAGTTAAATTTACCCAAAAAATAATAAAGATTAGGGACCACGCCAGAAAACTTCGTCTGAAATAGATCCAAGGTACTGATATGCCCAAAGAAATTACATTCATCCAATCAAAGCTTTTGATCCAACATCAGTAATGTCTTAGATTACGCGTTGGAGGTAGCAATTGAAATAGATTAAACGAATTCAATCGCACTCGATCAGCAATGAAGTCGAAATATAGAAATCAATCGTCTTGAATTCATGGGATTATCTCGAAATCGGGGAATTTGTCTTTCAAATTACCACCGGATTTTGGGGAGAAATGTCAGAATTTGATTTAATTGCCCACATATATTTTTGTCGGACAGATAAATATTACTACATTCGTTTAGTTGGCAACAATTGTAAACAAAAATATTTCATACCGTATATATTTATTTTGTAACAAATGAATCTAATCCATGATTATTTTTCATCTTTCAATACGTTCAAAGTTATAATACATAATATTTACCAATACCAATATCAAGTCATTAATTTTTCAGGAGTATTTCTCACAGGTAGAAGTCTCAACAAAGCCTGTAGATACACTAGTTTGAAGAAGCTTAACCCACTATTGCTTCCATTCTAAACGTGAAATACGCAGAGCTACAGAATAATATAGTATATTACATTCTATACAAAGGGGTTCAACTAACACCGGTTATCCGAGTCAAAGCGTGTGTATGCAATATTGACGTTTCTTTGTGGAGGCGTCATTGTTCTATTTTTATGATAGTGTTGTTTTTGAACACTTGTACCAGGAGAGGCGTGAAAGCTAAATGTTGGCTCTTTTGAAGTTCAAAATTTTATACAGCCATGTTACCAACTATAAGTTTAACAATTCACTTAAATTAAAGCCATATATGACTTTAATTACACATCCTATATGACATTAAACTGACATTAAGAATACTTGAACTGTCAATAAAACGAGGCTAAAGTATAAACGTCATCAGCCTATCACAGCCCACTGCTGAGCAAGGCCTCTTTCTCATATGGAGAAGGTTTGAGCATTAATCACCACGCTTGCTCAAGACGGGTTGGTGATTTCAAACTTATAATTGTGAAACTACATATAAGTCCAGGTTTCCTCACGATGTTTTCCTTCGCTGTATATCAGTGGTGTCTAAATACTCTCAGAAAGTACATATGACTCCGAAAAATCACATTGGTACTTGCCAAGTTTGAACCCGCGCCCTCATGCATGAGAGACGGGCCTTTTAACCACTAGGCTACCACTGACTACTGACTGACTAACGTGTAAAAGTGTCACTTAAAAGTTTTGATAGAAATCATATGACAGAAATCATGTATTTTAAATTAAATTCATACATTATAAGGTAGAAACAAGTTTCCTGTAAACAATTAGAAAAATAATAATTAATTTGTGTTATAAAATTTCAGCAACTTCATTAATTTCTTCTAGGCAGTATGAATAAATTATGATTAAAAAAACTGTTATAACTAACATGCCTTTGTTCTTAAATGAGGTGGCAAAAAATATAATAATTAATTCCTTACTTTCATTTATTTAGATTAATTCTATAGATAACTTTGTAAGTTAAATATTCATTATTTATTTTATAGTTCCCAAAGTAAATATTATAAAACACCATGTAAAATATAAAATATCATAAAAAGGATACACTATACTTCCTTGAATATTTCGGTTATGAGCTGTACAAGAATAAAATAAAGTAATGTGGTATGAATACTAAAATAAATCTTGTTATAATAATAAGACTTCATCAAGAAAGAAAAGAGGAAATAATCTAATTATGTATTCCATGCCTATGTTTCTGTTATCTTTGTCTTGGGGAAAACAAAATCTTAACTTACGAATGTGGCACACCGAGTGCAAATAATTTGTTTAATATTATATTGCTTCCCATTTGTACACTTCATTCTAAAGGGAATATAAGAAGATATTTTTTGTTGTTTGAATTTCACAATGTTATATACGTACAATATTAAAAATATGATATTACAGTCAATTACTTGTTATATATGTAAATAGAAAAAACACTAAAATCGTAGTCAAGAGATGATGAATCTTTGCAATTTATAAATCACTGATTTCAAATAAAATATGTAAGATATTACAATAACTTTCTTACTCAAAATCGTTTCTAGTAACTACCACATAACACAAAATCACAAACTTATACATATTTATATATAAAAATCAAGTCAAATTTAGTTATTTAAAGAGACATTTTATACTGCATCAAAACATCACCTACTATTAACTACTCCGTTTACAATGTTTATTTGTAAAATTGTCATGTCTTGTCGTACTTATATGTACATATAATATAGAAGTGTTTATATTCCCTTGCATAACATGTCAAACGCCACTCCCAATATTTACACAACTTGCATAAATCACTTACTAGTGACCGACTTTTGCATGCATTAATTTTGGCAGCTACAAAGATTCTATTTTTATATTCACTATTGATAAACTCTTTAAAAAAACATCTCAAACGAACAAGTCACAAAAATTTACCTCTGCGTGTTCATCACAATATTATATTATACATATGTACAAGTTACATTGTCATATTGTCAGTGGTGGCCAAGTGGTTAAAGGGCCCGCCTCTCGTTGCCGATAAGCGCGGGTTCGATCCCGGCCCGGGCAAGTACCAATGTGATTTTTCCGAGTCATATGTACTTTCTAAGACTATTTAGACATCACTGATTAACGTTGATTCCCAAAAGAGGGTTGATGTCGGGCAGGCGGCCGGTCATAAAAACAAATAGCCAAAAACTATTCACAACATGTAAGGCAGACCCTGGCTTTAGCTGGGAAATTGCCAGGTAGAAGAAGATTGAACTGTAAAAATTTCATACAAATCTATGTCCAAGAAAATACAGAACGAAATCTTGTCTTAGTCAAAGTAACTATAGAATAAATTATCGTTTTATGTTGTAGTTAGTTACCGCTGACCGATATTGACTCTCCACTCCAATGCACTGGCTTGTTGGAGTGAATTATAAACTACGTGCTAACACAGTGGCAGGCAATCTGTGTATTATTGGCAAGATTTGATATGCATTCTGTTAATGTTATTCGATTTATAACATCGTCCAAAATATTGAAAAATAACCATATGGAAATACAAATAAACCACTTGATATTGTGATATTTTTATTCGATCGAAATATATTTATAGAACAACCATGTACATATGTACTTGAAAGAAGGTAAAAAAATGTCTTTAATTTGAAGTAAATGTCTTATGTATTTTAATTTAAATGTTTTCTATATTTTATATTCTAATTATAACTGATGACAGATATATAGCTTTGTTATTTAACCACAAATAAGTCTTTCAAGATAATTTGAGATCTCATTCGTTAACAGTATATTGGTAGGATTTAAGTCAGTTAGAGGAACTAGCAGAAAATAGTTATCTGAATATGGGTAGATGTATGCAAACAAATGTTTATTCATAAGAGTATATAAAGCGAAAATTACATTAGTATAACTGAGTATATTACTAATTAGACCTGGAAGTAAGTAATACTATAAGGCTTATATATCTAATACATATATTTCATCACAAAAATATTTGGAAGATGAAATAAACTTAAAACCAAAACTACTTACAAACACTATAAACTAATATTTGTCATTTCAAAAACATTAAAATGTAAAACAAAACAAAACTAAAAGAAAGCATTGTTTAATAGATGACAAGTAAAAATTATTCCATTAAAATCCCTACTAATATTATAAATGCGAAAGTAACTCTGGCTGTCTGTCTGTTACGCTTTCACGCCTAAACCACTGAACTGATTTTAATTAAATTTGGTACAGAGATAGAGTTGACCTTGAGAAAGAATATAGGATAGTTTTTACCCCAGACTTTTGAAAGTTTCTCTTGGAAACGCGATATAACCGAACTCGATGCGGGCGAAGCCGCGGGCGGAAAGCTAGTTGTATATAAATCATAAATTATTATTATATAATAAAACAAATATACAACTAAT